GCAGATGCTCTTGAAGAGGCCTTGGGATGTTCACAGCCGGATTGCCAAGTGTGTGTCATTCGGGCAGCGATTTCTTCCTTTCTTGCCCCCCGCCGCTTTTCTTCTCGCCTGAGGGTCCAGTCCGAGCCTGGTTGTTCTTCACCTTTCTACCTACCTACCTGAGGGTGTGAGGCTGCTACGCTGGCTGTGTGTCGTGTGAGCCTGTTTGTGTCTGTGTGATATGCACATGATTTAGATTCGATCGACGATTCGAGTTTGAGACACTTGAGACACGTTCGAGACACTCCAGTCAACCCTAGAGGCGGATTAGCGGGGTCTGTCCGACTCGCTCGCTGCACGGTTGGCTGCGGCGCTCCGGCGCAAGCCGACGCTCGAGAAGTGGCGCCACTCTGCGTGGCTGCCCTCCGGGCTTGTCCTTGGCTCTCCGACATCGATCGAGCACGCCTGTCCGACGAGCGGCTTGCCGCGCGGGTGGCTTTGTGTGGCTCTTGTCGAGAGCGTTTTGCGGCCCGCCGGCTGAGAGAATATGTGTCGTCTGATGTGTCACTGTGTACGTCATATCAGTCTTGATAACAAGCACGGTCGATCCGTCGAAGCGATATACTCGTCACGTCACGCTGGACGGCTTGCACGGAACTCTGTGCCGGCAAAACAGGAAGAGCCGCGCTGCAAGAAGAGCTCGATAGGGAGCGAGAATCGTCAAAGGTGCTCACGCAGGTTTCGGACGTCCGTCCTGGTGCGGTCAGTTCCCCCCAGGTTTGATCGCGCAGGTCTCAAAACTCGTCGAGCACTCGTAGCCTTTCTGCGACTCTCTGCGTGCTGCCGGCTCGGGAAGAGCAATTTTGCAAGATATCTCAACGAGATCCGACATCTGCGCGGTCATTTTTGGAGTGATCTTACCGCGTCATGACGGAGTCTTGATACCTCTCGGAGCACCTCTAACGGTTCTCGCTCCCTATCGAGATCTTCTTGCCGGACGGCTCTTCCTGTTTTGCGGGGCGCGCTGAGCTCTGTGTCAAGCTCGAAGGGCAACGGAAACGAGTGCATCGATAGACCGACTGTGCTTGTTACCAAGACCGATCTCACGTACACAGTTACACTCCAGACGTCCTGTACTCTCCCATCCGACAACCGGCAAGACGCTGTCGTGAGCCAGCCGCTCTTGCGGCAGCCGTCAGCAGAGACCGAGCGCGTCGGGCGAGTGGAAATCGAGATGGCGAGCCCGCCGTGGGGCCGGACGACGGCGCTGGCGAGCCGGATCGAGGCCGCGGCATCACGGTGGCGAGCAGGAGGGGCTTAGGCTGTTTTCACGTGGAAGCGTAGGTGAGCCCAGAACGCTAATCCTGGGCAGGTTTGGCTGGGGTGGCACCCTCGGCCAGCTGAAGCTCTCGACTCGTCCACCTTGCTCTGGACTATGCCGACCTCAAACCACCAGCGCCAGCAACGACGTGCCACGGCTCGCCACGCATCTGTTGCGACCGACGACGTGCCCGACGCCGTCCCGCGGCCGCCAGGAAGAGGCCCGCGCAACCACTTCTGGGACCCGCGGCCGCCGGGCGTGTGGCGGCACAACGAGTCGAACGAACCGAACCAGCGCAGAGCGGCGCGTCTCACGAGCGCCCGCGGCCGCCACGCCGCCGCCGTCCGCGGCCGACGGTGGTCGCGAATCAACGCGGCGCGGTGCACCGCTGCGCCTGTCCTTCCGCGCCGCTGGACGTCGGCCGAGAAGACCGCTTCCCTCTGGGGACCCGACTCCGCGAAGATCGCGCGCGCGTCGTGAGTGGCGGCGCGCGCGCGATCTCTGTTCCCGGGCACGCCGGTCGCAGTGACATGGGCTCCCAGGCTCAAAAGCGCTCAACAGCGAGCTGCTCCTCCTCCTGCCGCCGCTCCGCTCACCGAGACAACTCGGTGCCGCCGTTCTCGCCGCCGCCGCCGCCGCCGCCGCCTCGCGCCTTGCCTCCGTCACCGCCGCCCTCCATCTCGCAGCGGCGCGTCCCTCTGATGGCGCGGGCTCCTCGCTCGTTGGCGCCTCGCGCCGCCGCCCCCCCTCTCGCCGCCGCTCCGCTCGTGGCCGCCCCATCCCCTGTCAATCCCGCCGCCTCCGCTGTCAATCCCCCCCCACCGCCGCCACCGCCTCGCGCGTTTAGCGGGCCTTTAAGCTTAGGAATCCTAAATAGAGGACAGGTAGGTAGGTAGAAGAGGACAGCCTATAAAGTGTGAGTCACACACACACACACACACAGCCTATAAAGAAAAGAAACGCAATGTCGAAGGTGCCACCTTATCAACCACAAAAATAGGCCCGCGCGTGCTGCGCGGGCCCGGCGAGCGACTAGCGAGCCAACCTGCTAGTACATTTAAAAAATGCACTCGCAGGCGCGGACGAAAGAATCATCAAGTGGACGGGCGGCGATGCAGCGACCGAGGCTGGCCGTCACGCTCGCGGTATGCTTCATTGCCGGGCCAGTGCTGTGCTCCCCGAGGCGCTCCGGACGAAATGTCGGCGGGCGGATTGTGCCGGTGCGGACGTCTGGGGTGCAGACAGGTCCAGTCGCGGTTGCATTGGCAGCGGCAGTCGCTGGCTTCACGCTCGGAGAGAGGTCGCACCAGCCGCCCATGCCATGCCAGATGAGCGAAGTCTGCATCCAGCAGCGACAACTAGAGGAGGCGTCCATCTTCGGCCACATCTTCCAGCAGCAGCGGACCTTGGGCCTGGCTAGTTACCATTTTGTGAGCCCGGAGAGCAGCTACATCTCGTATGCAGCAGCCCCGAGCTCTTGGAAGCTGGCCGACGGCGGCGCGCCACCGGCCCGCACACCTAGATGCTGAATAAACATTCCAAGTACGAATACACTCGAGAAGACGTGTGTGTTGCAGTTTCTCACCGCGAGCGCGTTCATACAGGCGCGGAAGTACTTCGTGTCGCCCGTGTACGACGCCGCGAGCCGCACGTTCCGCGGCACCATTTTCTGGGGAATCAACCCTTTAAGTGGGCACAGTGCTTATTGGAAGTACGAGATGGTGTTCAGCCCCGATCTTCAGTCAATAGAGAGCGGCGAGGTCCGCTCCTTCCGGCTCGACGGCACAGAGGACAGGGAGCCGGTACGGTTTGGGGTCGATCTGATCTACGAGTCGTGTGACCTTATCTATGACGACTTGTTCCCTATGGGGTTGGAGCAGTAAAGTACGCTACCGTGTGGCCAGTGTCACTTTCTGCGCGGCTTGTTCTCACCACGTCGAGACTACGAGAATTGTACACCTTTCTTTCCTGCCGATTACGTAGCGTTTCGGGAGCCGGGACGGGGGACGCGGGTATCTAGAGTGAGGGCCGAGCTGAGCACCTGTCCGACGGGTTCCCGCGCAGCGCCGACTCCCAGGCGTGCAAATGCATACGGCTCCAGTCCGCGACCTCCGTCTCGCATCGGTACGACGCACGACGGCACTTGCCTGCGTGCAGTGCCACACAGCGCACAGGCTAGTGCCATTTCACTGTGGCACAGCTCGCGTTACAAAACCTTGATTTGACCATTTGCGCCATTTTGTCCCTCTCGGTGCCTTCCAGAGGCAGCTGCGACCCCGCCAAGTGGACGTCGGCACCAAACAGGCGACGCGCAGCCTGTCCGTCCACTCGGCGGGGTCGCAGCTGCCTCTGTGCGTCCTGGGGAGGGACAAAATTGTCGCCGCCGGAGACGACTCGACGCCGCTGAGATTGGAGATCAAGCTCTGACAGGTCGCACGTCGCTCCTTTGACGCCGACGTGACTCACCCGTGCAGATCACATCAGGACACGGTCTCGACGCGCTCGGTACGACGCCTGCGACCCGTCTCGGGTCAGGTGGCACGACGCTCATCGCGCCTACCAGCGCTGCCGTACAGGTTGCCACGACGAGGTCGAGCACGCTTCTATACGCTCGCCGAGCCTTCCTTTCCATCCAATTAGGCAGCCTGGGAACGGTGGCGGTCAGAGGCAAAGCCTACGAGGGGTGGTGGAACCACATGTCACGGCTACTGCCGGCTCGACCCCACGATAGCCTCCGAAGGCTGACTTTGCGGCACCATCATCGGACGATGTCGACGAGTTGGGTCGCTCTCGCGGTAGCCAGATGACCTCTCTTTCTAGGAGCATCGGCCATGGCCGCAGGGAGCGCGGGGGAGGGCGCTGGAAGCAACACGGACGGATAGGCCGATGACTTTTAAAGGACTTGTCCTTTACAAAAGGACACCTTGATCTCGCGTTTTCGCTCCCATTGAGCTCTCTGCAAGCCTCTCCTGGGCATTGAGGTATGCTACCATGTCCACCTGACAGCCTCCAGGCGGCGGGGTCACGACCCAGCCCAAGCAACACATTCAAAACCGACCCGGAGACGTACCCGCAACCGCTTGTCCTTTACGCCCGCTAGTCCTCATCACTGTCTACAATCACCTGCCGCTTGCGTAGGGGGGGGGGCTGCAGCCTGGGAGGAGGGCGCTGCAGGCCGCTTGGCACCTTTGGACACGCGCCCAAGCACTCCCTTCACCGTCTTCTTCACTATGAGCCCGCCCGGTTTTGAGCGTGCGTCCCAGTCGCTGCAGCGGCTCTGTCAGCGGACCAATCTTGCGGTAGCGGCGATCAACTGCTGCTGCTTGGCGTTGCGCCTTCGGGGAAGGATGTGGTCCTCCTCTGTCAGCTGGCTGTTGGTGGTGAAGATGCGTGGCATGTACTGCGGGAGGGTGCCATTGTTGTAGCGAGCGGCATTTGATGCGCTCGCTTGGCGGTGAGCTGGCTCGGCACGTCTTCATTCGAGAGCTCGCCGCGGCCGAGTGCGGCGTACGTCAGGTGGTAGTTGCGGGCGGGTTGATGACGCTCACGTCGGCCGGGGCACCACCCACTAGCTGCATGATCACCGGCTGGTCACTGATCACCGATCACCGGCCTTTGGAGAGTTTTCTAGGAGTTACTTATTCAGACGGTGATCGGTGATCAAGTTTCGGCGGCACGTAACGTCCAAAACAAGGCCACGACTGTCGTCCCCCGGCACCACCGGGCACGGGGAAGTCGCGAAGGGCAAGTGGAGTGCGGGAGGTACGACTGGGCCGGCGAGCGGGGGCGCGCGTGGCGCCCTTCATGAACCTGTCCTTTTAGTTAGGACAAAAATCTTTTTAAAAGGACACATGGGGCTATCCGCGGAGCTACGGCACGCGGGGGCGCGGCTCGTCTGAGAACTCGCCCGCTCGCTCTCTCCGCGCTGAACTCTATACTCGTTACACGTTAGCACTACTCCGGCTGTCCGGCTACCAAAGACCCTGAGGTACGTCGTACGAAAATAAGTAAATAAAACGGACACCTCTACTGTGAGATGGGTAAAAAGGAACAGGTCCCCGCCCTTGCGATGTTTGTGCAGGGTTCTTTGTGGGTGTGGTCGGCGACTAGCCGGGGTCGTCCTCCCGATGGGGGACTAGCACTAGCCGTCTTCCACATGGTCCCTCGGGTCCCTGCTGCTCCTATTTACACACGTTGAGTAATGGAAATATCTAGTCTTTTTTAGAGATTGAGAGCTTAAAGATTTGAAAGACTCCACTCGGGTCTACACACTACAGTGCTACCCAGCGAGATTTGAGACCAGAGACTTGGAGAATGAGATTTCCCACACCAAAAGGAATCTGCGGTCCGAGTTCGCTCGAGATCCAAGATTTGAGACTGAAGATTTGGACGGGGCCTTCCATGGCCTTCGATCCCGTTGCCTTCAAGAAGACCAAGCACATCTTGCGCGCCGCCGAGTTTCTTCGCGATCTCGCGTCAGCCGTGGCGTTATCTCTGTCGAACACCTCCCCGGCGTCGTGATGCTCGCCGACTTGCTCACGAAGGCTGCCTCGCGGGCCATCTTTACTGGCCTGATCAAGCAGCTTGACGACTTTCATGCCCTCTGAATTCATTTGTCCCTCGCGCCCCGCACTCGGGCCAGGAGGGGCTGTTCCCGGGCATTCACTGATTCACACTATGTTCCTGAGATAATTTGGCGATTATATCCATAAGGGATTTCATCCCTTTTTGGTTTGGAGATTCGTGTTTTGGTTTCGGTTTTTGGGTAGAACGTATACAGCGAACGCGATGCGGCCTCTGCCTAGCTTCCTGCTTCTATGCGCGAGCTACGGCGGGACCGCTATCGAGTACTAGGGAGGGGGGGAAGTAATCTGAAACGCAACGATGCATGCGTGCAGCACGAACGGCTGCGATTCAGCGGTCGCGCCGCTGAGCTTCAGGTCGAGCTCGGCGAGCTGAGCAAGATCATCCAGCGGCGCGACAGCTGAATCGCAAAGCGTTCAAGCGTTGAGGAACGCGAGACAGATCGCGTTCCGCGTTCCAGTTTCACGAAAGGTACCACCCTCCCTAATCTCAAATCTCGAGTCACGCTGCCCTGGATTTCGGGTGCCGCAAGCGATGTTTTTCGAACGATGCGAGATAAGGGCGTTGGAAGGTCGAGGAAGTTCACAGCATTCTGATAGAATTTTACAATTTCTGATAGGCTAGTGCCATTTCACTGTGGCACAGCTCGCGTTACG